CAGAGGCCCCCACAGCCTCTTCTCGGAGAAAAAGAAATCTGCTTTACGCCTGACAGCACCACCCAGGGCCAAATCTAGACTGGGCATGGCCAGACAGGCACAGGCAAGCTGCAGCAGGGACCTCCATCTCTTTAAATACAGAGCCTAAGCCTGGAGTGGCCCACGGCTGTGGCTATGTGAGACTATCTCAAACACCCTCAAGGACTAAAGCAGAAGGTGGACTGGTGAATACAGGTGATACCAGCCTTCGCCCGGATGTGCATCTGTTCAAAGCTGCACACGGTGTTGCATCTATTGCGTGTGTAACACCACCACAGCACACACATCTAGCTCGGCCTGCAGGTGAAGAGGGCAGTGTGAAGACCGGGCTCTGAGGATAGGGTTGAAGGCTTCCTTTAGATGGTAGGAAACCCGCGTCTCTTACTGAAGCCCACGCGGTTAATTGTTTATTTAACTGAGACAACAAAGGAGGAAATGGAGATGGTTTAGCGGTTAAGAGCGCTAGCTGTCCTCGCAGCGGTCATGGACCTGCTTCCCATCCCTGTACCAGGCGGCTCACAACTGCCTGCACCATCAGCTCTGTGGGACTCCACCGTCTCTGACCTCTGGGCACCCCCCCCACACACACACACGCTCACCCCCTCTGCTGGACCTCAGGCAGGGCTTCCACAAGGAGGCCAGGGAAAACCACTGCGTACCAAGGGGACCAGGACAGCCCCAGAGGACACAGAGACCCTTGAGCTGACAAGTTGGCAAGAGTGAGCCTCCCACCCTTCTGCATAAGCAGGGTCAGGGCAGACACACCTCTCTGCCTCTGGCTGTGCGTGTCCGACTTGGTTCCTTCCTACCGACCAGCAGCAGCTTCCTGCTGGGTGGACATACCGCAGCTAGCTGACTGTTCGTGGTGAACACGGGCGCTGTTTTTGGTTTGGCCTGTGACTAGTAAGCTGCTGTGAGAATCGGTCTTTGCGACTTTGTGTGGACACACACTTCACGCTGCTAGTTACTGCGAGTAGAATAGCAAATGTTTTAAGTATTATGCTTCGGTTAAGACGGTCCCACTTGCCCGTGTATAGAAGTTTCAGAGGTTTGTAGCTGTTCAAAGCAGGGGTGTTGGGTTCACAGTCTCACTGTGCTTGTCTAGCGGTGTCCGAGACCAAACCAGGGCTTTAACACCAGGCAAGCGCTCTGAGCCCCACCCCACCCCAGCCTCTTTTTTTTTTTTTTTTTAATATGGATCACGTCACAAACTTTTGTGTTATCCTTGTGCAGGGGCCATACAGGGCCCTTAATCTTCTCTGTTGCTCCAATTTTAGTATATGTGCTGTGGAGGAGAACACTGCCTTTTCTGGGGGTATCTTGCTATGTGACCCAAGCTGGCATCAAATTCTTCTTCCTCAACACGAGATGTCTTCTGCCTCTACTCCTCTACCTCCTGAGAGCTAGGGTTACAGTGTGTCGTCATGGCCAGTTTACGTCCTCTGGGGAATCACAGCCAGGGCTTTGCTCATCCCAGGCAAGTTGTCTAACAACTGAGCCACACCCCCAGCCTCCCCGTGGTTTTAAATAGCATTTCTCCAGTGACCAGTGACGCTGGTAGGTGCTTCATGTCTCTGCAAACCCTCCATATATCTTCTCTGGTACCATGTCTGTTGGAGTCCAGGGCCCACTTCTGATTGCATGGTTTCTTAGGGAGCTGTAAAAGTTCCTTATATATCCGGGGCACAAATCCTTTGGCAGACAGGCCTTGAGGGCATTCGCTCTTACCCTGTAGCTTCCCTTTGAATTTATTCTTAGTAACTTCTGAGGCTTGTGCTTGTTTTCATGTCAATAAAAAGCTCAAAGAGGGAGAGGCTAGGTACATGGGCGCCCCAAGCCCAGCTGCCTGTGTATTTCTCAGAATCTTCAACAGAACAAAGCTGAGACGATGAGACTCTGTGTTGTCGTAACCAGCTGGTGTCACTGTGCCCACACACTGACTGGGCCAGGCAGGAAAAGACATGGAAAAGGTTACCTGCAGGCTGGTATCAGGCCAGGCCCACTGGCTTGGAAAGGGTTACCTGCAGGCTGGTATCAGGCCAGGCCCACTGGCTTTCTTCTGGAAGGGATGCTGGACTGGGGAGCCAGCCCTAACCTGGGAGAATATAGCACCCGGGGGGGTCTCAGACAGGCTGTCCATGCTGGCTGCTGTGCGGAACAACCAGATGGAAGGATCCCAGGCCATGCAGGCTCTCGCCTGCCTGCCTAGCTCTGGAATGTGAGCAAAGGCTTCCTGTTGGCGGTGCTTCTGTGGCTAGAACAGTCTTCGCCTGAGGGGATGTCAGCCTCAGCCCCGAGGCCGGGAGGAAACTGCTCTACCTGAGGGGGAGATGCTGAGGGGCTGTGTCCGCTGGCGAGCAGGCCACCCTTCACCAGGTTCTCTGCCTGCCTTCAGGGCCCACACCTGGGGCTGGACTTTAATCACGACCGCGTTCTCCAGGCACCTGGAGCCCTCTTGCTATGAAAGGGCTTATTACAAAGGAGTCGGGTGAGATGTGGGGTGCACTGCCCCCCTCAAGATCCAGAGGGACCAAGAGTGTTGAGCTGTGGTCTTCCTCAGACTTGGAAAAGACTCGGAGGGACTCCTCAGGATGTCTCCATTGGAAACTCCTCCCCGCCCTCCCTTCCCCTTCTCCTCCTCCTCATCTTCCCTTAGATTTATTTTTAATTTATAGATCTGAGTGTTTTCCCGCATGTATGTCTGTGCGCATGCGCCTGGTATCTGAGGAGGCCAGAAGAGGGCGGCAGAGCCCCTAGAACTGCAGTTACAGAGATGTGAATTGCCATGTGGGCCTGGGAACCAAACCCACGCCCTCTGTAAGAGCATCAAATGCCATCTCTCAGCCTTGACACTGCTCTTTCCTGAGGTCCCTGAACACCTGACAGGCAGGAGCAGGTCCCCAGCTGGCTGGTGCCATCTTAGCTTCCCAATTCTCCTCCCATGGGAGCTGGAGCATCTGTCTCTGCTCGCTGTGTCTGGCTGGAGCGTAACAGCGGGACCCTGTGAGCAGCCAGTGGCCCCTCAAGAACTAGACTACAGCACAGGAGGTTGGCCCGTTTGCCCCTGGCCCCTGATGCTCTCTGGTGGCATCCACAGACTCTTTCTAGAACAGGTCTGTATGAAAAAAAATTAATAATTTAAAAACAAAACCACAGAGGAGTATAAAGAAAACCAATTATATCTAGATACAAAAATCACCACACAGAGTTTGCACCTGGTCTACAACGGCACAACTTCCAGGCCTGGAGGTAGGTGAAAAAGATAAAGAAGAAGCCAAGTAGACCAGGCTATCCCGGAGCTCTCTCTGTAGACCAAGCTGTCCCGGAACTCCCTCTATAGACCAGGCTGTCCCAGAACTCACTCTGTAGACCAGGCTGTCCCGGAGCTCTCTCTGTAGACCAGGCTGTCCCGGAGCTCTCTCTGTAGACCAGGCTGTCCCGGATCTCACCGAGATCCACCTGCCTCTGCTTGCCAAGTGCTGGGATTAAAGGTGTGCGCCACCACGCCCAGTTGCACACACAAAGTATGTCAGTATGATGAGGATGTAGCTCACTGGTAGACTGCCTAGCATGCAGGAGGCCCAGGCACTGCAAGCTAAGCAGGGTGGAGCCTGTAATTCTAACACCAGGGAAGTAAAAGGATCCAAAGTTTGGTGAGTTTGGGGCCAGCCTGAGTTACATGAGATCCTGTTTCAAAAACAAAACAAAACGTGACAAATAGTATCCCTTTTTTTTTAAAATCTGAGACTCAGTCTTTGGTACTCATCACAGTCATTGTGATGACACACACATGTCCTCAGTTCTGCATGATTCCTTTCTTAGAGAAGCAAACCTGGGGGCTTCTCCCACCACCCACCTGCAGCGGCGGCGGCATCTGCCGATGTTTTGGGGCCCCTGAGTCACGTCACCGCTGAAGAGCTGCAGGAGAGGACCCCAGGACCAGCATTTGCTGAACAATATGTTGGGCCCCTGTTGAAAATGACGGCAGGTCTCAGGGCTACACCCACAGGTGAGTGTGTCCATCTTGGGAGTGATAAGCAGTCTTGGTATCAAAGGCGAAACAAGGCCTGGGATGAAGGGGCAGGAGGGAGTGGAAAGTAGGAGAAAGAAGTCCAAGCCTTCTTCTGGTTCTGAGGGTCACATCTGTCCCTCCTATTGGGGAAAAGTCTCAGATGGCTGTTGTATGATATTTTGTTTGTGTTCTGACAAATAAAGCTTGCCTGGAGATCAGAGGTCGAAGCTAGTCTCTAGTGAAACACAGAGGCCAGGCCGCGTGCACACGCCTTTAATCCCAGCACATGGGAGGAGGAAGCAGGAAGATCAGGAGTTCAAGGCCATCCTGGGCTACAGGAGATTGAACCAGTCTGAAAGAGAAACAGAGCTGGGCAGTGGTGGTACATGTCTTTAATCCCAGCACTAGGGAGGTGGAGACAGGAATATAAGGTGGGTGGAGACAGGATCTCACCCCTGTTCAGTCTGAGGATTCGGAGAGGTAATAAGTCTTTCTAGTGGCTGCTGCTCTGCTTCTCTGATCTCCAAGCACACTTCATTTGTCAGAACACAAAATATCACACAACAGATGGCCTGAAACATTCACCTTGGATCCCTGATCCCCATGTCAGTGCCTGGCACTTTTGGGCATTGAAGAAAAAAAAAAAAAAAAGAAAAGAAAAGTCAAGAATAGGTGAAGTGAAAATTTGTGCTAGGTGGGCCTACAATCCCAGCATTTGGGGAACCAAGGCTAGGACTTTGAGTTTGAGGCCATCCTGTATTACCCCATCTCAAGGATGTATACTTCACTTAATCTTAGCTCCCTTCCTATGTCTACAGAGGCTGGTGGTATAGCTCAGTGGTAGAGCAAGTGTCTAACCTTGGGTTCAGATAAAAACCAAACCAGAATGTGTGCCTGAATGGACACTTACGATTTAAAAATAAATAGGGAGGGGGTGGTGCTGGCGAGACGGCTGTTTTTGTGGGCTTTTCCAGAGGACCCGAGTTCAGTTCCCAGCACCCACATCAGGCTGCTCACAACCACCTGTAACCTCAGCTCTGGGGGATCCGGTGCTATCTTCTGGCTTCCTTAGATACCTGGACACACAGAGCAGAGACACACAGAGACACACAAGTGAAAATAAATCTTTAAAAAATAAATCATCTCTGGGGGGCAGGAGAGAGGCGGCTCAGCAGTTAGGAGCACTGACTGACCATCCAGAGGACCCGGGTTTGATTCCCAGGCCGCCTGGTGTCTGATAATAAATAAGTAAATAATCAAACTCTGGTTTTTAGTGGAAGAGCTTCAGTCGTGCTCATGTATTAAAGGTCCAGCAATGCGCTGCCTGACCCGCTTGCTGCCCTCGGATGCGGAGCTGTGTGACTGTGTCCCTGTTAATGGGGGGTGTGAATGCACCACTGTGCTTCCTGCTCTTTCCCAGTGACCTGCAGTTCCCCCCTTCCACTCCCCCTGTTGTACACTCAGCAAAAGTGTTTTTCCATGTAAAACAAGCAAATATACAAAATAAAACCAACAAAAGACAGTGTGCCGGAGATTCGTTTGTAATAAATCACTTGTCTGACATGGATGAAGCTCTGGGTTTGCCTCCAGCACCTCAAAAAAGATTGAACTAATACTTTTTTTATTTAACTTTATTTTATGTGCATTGGTGTGAGGGTGTCAGATCCCCTGGAACTGGAGTTACAGACGGTTGTGAGCTGCCATGTGGGTGCTGGGAATTGAACTCTGGTCCTCTGGAAAAGCAGTCAGTGCTCTTAACTGCTGAGCCATCTCTCCCTGATACATTTTTTAAAAATTAATAAAGTCAAAAATACCTTTCTAGAGTGGTGGCATCCAACACCACCTCAACACTTGGGAGGTGGAGGCAGAATGCCAGGAGTTCAAGGTCACCTTCTACCACAAAGTTAGATGGGAGCAAGACCCTATCTCAAAACAAAGGAGACTTGGAAGGGAAGGACCGAGCGGGAGGGGAAGGGAAGCAGAGGGAAGAGAATAGGGAAAGTTTCTGAAAGGGCCTGCCTCTGTGAAAATGGAGCGGTCTGGCGCTCCCTGCTTTGAAGTCCGGGTTCAGCGCTGATGTGGATGCAGACGTTGCTAGCACCAACTCTGTTCCCATTTCCCTAGGTGACCCGGCCTGGGACGCAGAGGATTAAGGTAAGATTCATTGCAGATTTCACTACGCCCGGATGATCGCAGGAGGCCGGGCGAATCTCACAGGCTTTCCAGACTTTTGAGTTTTCAGATTCTCTCTAGAAGACCGGCCTGAGCAGACTGACTTCCAGATCGCAGACCAGCTGCCCTGCGGGAATTGGGATCCCGGAGCGCCCCCTAGTGGACATCTGGGCATGACCGCGCACCCGGTGGACCCCGGACCCAAACCAACCAACCTAGGCTGAGGAGGCACAGAGCAGACTTTATCAAAGGGCTTTGAAGAGCACCCGCTGCGCTTTGCTTTTTTTATGCCCCGGGAACAACTCACGTCGAAGGCGCCGCCCTCCGAGCCACAGTTGCGCGGAGAGCAGCTACTGAGAGATCTGTTCCTGCAGCCAGTGCGCGTCCCGCAGGCAGTGAGGGTATCCCTTATCTAAGACTTAACCAGGCGCTGTTTCCTCACGGCGATTCAAGAACATGCCAGGCCTGTTCATATCCTCAGAGGGAGATGATTTTATACTCACACAAATTCAACATGCACCGCCATGAGTGCCAAGGAGAAGACCAGCAAGAACACATGGCGGGAGGCCAGGGTGGGCTTTCTGCAGGAGGCGACATTGGAATTGGTTGGCAAGGGGGCCTGGGGTGGTAAATTTGGTAACAAGGTCACACTGCAGGGCCGGTCCACTGTCGGGGGTCACTAGCCACAGCCCGCTGCCATGAGGGGTTGGGAGAAACGACAAGAAGAGGGAGGGATTCTGGTTCTAATTTTCACTAAGGAATGTTTGTTGGAGATTCATTTAAAATGGAAATTTGGAAAATTCTAGCATCTTTGCCCTTGTTAAACCTATTTATATTCTGTTCCTCGGACTAAAGGTCATTCTCCACTTCTTTCTCCTGTGTCAAGGAATTTTTATTGGATACCAAACATTGTGAAATTTATGGTTTTGGCTGGCGGACCACGCTGTGTTGCCTTTAAAGAGCGTCGGGGCTTTTATGGCAAGTAGACCCTTCACTTGGAAACTGCTCTCGTCTTTTGAAGACTTGTTTTCAAGCCTTTCAGGATGGGTCAGAAGCAGCCTTTCCTTCCCGGCTGGTGCCACCTCACCTTCAAGGTGTGGCTCTGGGAGCTGTCCTCCACCACTGTGCACCTGAGTCAGGTCCAACGTGGCCATCTGGAACCTGCACACTTCTCCACTCTTGGGAACACTACAGTTGGTCCTTCCCTGCCAGGGGCCCCTGTTGCCAAGGTCTTCTCTCCTCTCAGCAGCTGGGAGGCTGAGGCAGGAGGATCACTGAGAGTTCAAGGACAGCCTGGTCTACATAGTGTTCCAAGACAGCCAGGGCTACAAAGAGACCCTGCAATAATTAATAAATAATAATAATAATAATAACTGGAGAGTAACTGAGGATGACATGCGACATGGACCTCTAACCTCTTCACATGTATTCACGGGTGTGCACACCTGCACACATTTTATGTGCATCGGTATTTTGCCTGCATGTATATCCATGAGGGTGTCAGGTACCCTGGAACCGGAGTTACAGACAGTTGTAAGCTACCATGTGTGTCCTGGGAACTGAACCCGGGTCCTCTGGAAGAACAGCCAGTGCTCTTAACTGCTGAGCCATCTCTCCAGCCTGTTTGTTTTTTGAGACAGGGTCTCTTTATTATGTAGCTCTGGCTGTTCTGGAACTTGATATGGAGACCAGGCTGACCTTGCACTCACAGAGATCCACCTGCCTCTGCCTTCTGGGTGCTGGGATTAAAGTCACTCCACACTTAATCTATAAATAAATCTTTTTTTTAAGTACAAAACAAAAATCCCACAGAAAGGAAACCCGCAGAACGGTCCCACTGTTAGCCCTCTCCGGCAAGAGCACAAAGCTACGCGTACTTCCTGTGAGCTTTAGACGCGGATGAGCACCGCGACTCTCACCTGAGAAGCAGGCACAGCGAAGGGGCGTTTTTGTGACAGCACACTTCCTGAAGTGTCTCCTTCGGTCTGTCTCCTTCGTGTGTTAGAGTACCTGGCCTTTGCACGGATCTAACTTGTTCACGAACAGGAGTCCTGCTGGAGTCATGTTAACTAACACAAGTGCTAGCAGGGTCCTTGGATGACTTCACTACCTGTGTTTGCTTGTCCTGATTTAGAGAGACCAAGAACAAACACTAAAATCATGGCCAATAACGATACTATAGGATCAATTAATAAGCATGTTGAGCTGATGCCTACTGGAAGCATTTGGCAGTCAAGTGTTTGTTGGGTGTTGGATAGAAGTAACGTAAGTGGTTTTTGGAGACAGAGTTTCTCTCTGTAGCCCTGGCTGTCCTAGAACCCAGGCTGGCCTTGAACTCAGAGGTCCAGCTGCCTCTGCCTCTTGAGTGCTGGGATTGAAGGCACAATGGCTAGTCATTTTAATATAGTACTGAGGAGGTAGTATTTTAAAATTATCTGTGTTCTTAATTCAGTAAAAAAATCAAACCAAACCACTGTAACTATAAAAGAATGAGCATTATTAAAGTCACTCCATTGATTTGTCAAACAGGAACTGTGTGGCCTTATAATCACATTACACAGAAAATATTACCGGTGTGGGGCAGGGCAGATGCTTAGTGCTCTTGCAGCGGATCTGAGTTCAGTACTCAGCACCCACACCGGGCTGCTCACAACTGGAGTTACAGGGGATTTGGTGCCATCTTCTGGCCTCCAAGGGCATCTACGCCACATGCACATACCCTAACACAGGTACAACTAGTACTCTTAACCACTGAGCATGTGTATCTCCAGGCCCTAACGGCTGGCTTTGAAAAACATTTTTAAAATATATTTATTTATGCCACAGTGCATGTGTGGATGTCAGGACAACTTACAGGAGTCTCTTCTCTCCGTCCACCACGTGGGCTCTGGGAACCAAATTCAGGCTGTCCAGCTTGGCTCCTTCACCTACCCACGGAGCCCAGAGGCTGCCTCTCTGGTATTTGCTTCACCCCCTCGCACCTAATCAGGTGTGTTTAAATGTTTCAGGCCAGCAAGGTAGCTGGCAGACAAGTGCCTGGCACCCATGCAGAGACTGAGTTCAACCCTCAGAACCCCAAAGTTGTCCAAACCCCTAAACTCACATGCGTTCTCTTTCACTCACAAACACACACACAATAGGTAAAACACTTAAGTGTAACACTTTAACCATTAGGAAAAAAAGAAAAGTTTCTGAGTAAGCAAGAACATGGAGTGTTAAAAGAGCCTTCTACTTTCCTATGTGCTTTCTGCAAAGGGGCACTTTAAGGTTTACAGGAAAAACAAACAAACAAACAAAAACCCGCAGTTCTCACGTACCTCTCACTGCCCCCAGGCTCCAGAGTGTCTGGCATCACTGAGGTACACCTGCCGGGTGTAAGAACATGTGCACATGTCCCCATCACGGACAGCCTTAGCTCCCATTAGGTCTCACTGTTGTGTACATTCAGCAGTGTGTGGACAAGTGTGTGCTGGCAGGAATCCATTCTGCCATGCCTACAGCATGTTCCACCTGTTCCCATCCCTTGCCAGTCTGGAGCAACGACTCATCTCCTTCCTGTCTCCACAGCTTTTCCTTTTCCAGAGTGTCATAGAGTTATGATGGTAATTGAGGGACCCTGTCTTTTTAGGGCTTGTTAATCTTTTTTCTTTACTGATGGATCATCTCTCATTATGTGTATCTATCAGTTTGTCTAATTTGAGGATTTTGTTTTGTTTTGCTTCAGGACAACCTCACTATGTAGCCAAAGCTATCCTTGCATTTGTGATCCTCCTGCCTGAGTGTTCTGAGTTCTGGGATTATAGGCATGTGCCACATGCCCTGTTTTTCTGAAATAATAAAGCCCTGCATATCAACTCATGCCTGGAATCACAGCACTTGGGAGGCTGAAACAGAAAGTAAGAGTCAAGGCCAGCCTGGGTTACACAGCAAGACCCCATCTCAAACAACCTGGAAAGCCGTTTGGAGAGGAAGGCAGACCTTGTGGGGGAGAAGAGCGACATTTGGGGTCTGCGCCAGTCTGGTGAGCAGGGAAGCTCGCAGAGAAGGGTAGTCCTGTGGGCAGCCAGAGTGGGCAGTGAACGTGACCCTAGGCTGGGCCTGTCAGGGAGGAAGCGTGGGGGTGTGACAGGTGCTGGTGCTCCTGAGATCTGATGCTGCTGCCTGTTGTCCTGTGCCTTTGAGACTTCCTGCTGAGCTTACAGGAGTCACACACCACCCCTTCTTACCTCTTCCTGGCAAAGGGAGTTAGGAAAAGCTAGCCACGGAGCCATTCTTTTATAAACACACTGCACAACTTTCCCAGGAGACCAAGAACTGAAAATAGTATATTCTTAGCCAAACTGGCAAGCTGCTTGGTTGTTGGGACCTAATTCACTAGCTGACACCATTTGTCTGATACCACTGAACTTCCAAGGCTCTAAAACTTTCAAATACCATAGCTGAACGAAGCTTCAAAAGCCATCTGGTCAGCTGGGTGGTGGAGGTGCACACCTTTAATCTCAGCACCCAGCACTCAGGAGGCAGAGGCAGGTGAATCTTTGAGTTCCAGGACAGTCAGGGCTACAGAGAAACCCTGTCTTGAAAAAACAAACAAACAAACAAAAAACAAAACAAACCCCAAAACCCATCTGGCCATCTTATCTACCCTTACAACTACCCCTTGGGATCGCCTTGGCAAATCCCCAATTAGGTGATCCATCCTCTGCTGTTCCTCTCAGGCCCAGCCAGCCTCTGTTTTGACAGCTCAAATGCTCAGGAAGGTTCATTAAAACCTAAAGCCCCTCCCTGCAGGGTGCTGCTTCCTGACAAAGTTGTTTCCATGAGCAGCTGCATGGGCATTTATAATCCTTGCTCTGGCACCGGTCCCTCCTCCAGGCCAAGCGCAGGGGCCTCAGAAGGACTTAGACCGTCTTCTGAAGGACTCAGCAGCCCCGTGCAGTTCAGCTGAAATGCTGCCCTCAGCTTCCACTTATCAACAACCCCACATCTATGGGTTTAGCATTGGTTCTATCATCTCCCAGGTTCTTCACGTCAACAGTCAGTACCCTCAGTTGAAGATAACTAACAGCATTCTTTGGATGTTAAATATGTAAGTTGACGCTGGACACACCTTTAATCCCAGCACTTAAGAACCAGAGATATGAGGTTCGTGGTAAATTCAGGGTCAACCTGGTCAACAAGGTGAGATCCTGTCCAACAAAACAATAACAAAAATGTAAAAATGAATTACGGCAATCAGAGGGCTGGAGATGTGGCTCAGTTGGAGTACTTGACTAGCATGCATGAAGCCCTGGGTTTGATCCCCAGAACGGCATAAACTGAGCAGGAATGTTAGCACATGCCTGTATTGGCAGCATTTGGAAGAGAGGCAGAAGACTCAGAAGTTCAAAGTCAACCTCTACTATGTCTGAGCTTGAGAACAGCCAGGCTACATGGAACTGATGACTGGTTTCATCCTGCACCTGTGTCTGCACCGTCCACACCACCCCACAACGCTCTGGAACGACCGCAGACGGAGACCACCCGCCCAAGTGCCCACTCCCCTCGTATGAACAAGTCCACAGGCTGCTCTTGCTGATCCTTTCCATTTATTACTGCAGTAGACAATCCTCTCAAAGTGCAACACTACATCGTTGGGCACAGCCCTGCTCCGTCCCCTCCGGCAGACACTTGAAAATTCATTGTTGGAGCACGGACAAGCTTTTCCCTGGATGAAGTACTGCCACTGCCAGTGTCACAGGGAAATACAGACACATGAACAAAAGGACCAAGAGAAAGGCTCTCTGAGAGGAGCGGGGCCGAGAGGCAGAGGGAGAACAGCCTGAACACGACTCTCCCTTCCCTAGCAGCAACTGTCACGTTGGTCACACTGCTCTGGGGACCTCTGCCTGTTTGGAGAACTGATGATACCGTAACCATAACCGTGTGGTATCTCAGCCTACCCGAGTCCCATGGAGTCAAAATCAACGGAGAGACTTCTCCAGTCAGTTTACAAAGAATGGGTGGCTTGGGTAAACCCACCATTCAATTTCCCCTTCTAGCTGTTAGGCAGAGCACCTGAAGAACACTGGGGTGGAGATGCCGCCTGACAGTGAGAACCCCTCACTCTAACGGGAGCAGGGCCGCCGGCACACTTCGGATGGGAGGAAAAACCCAACTGTCAAATACTGTACTGACCAAGAAGATGGGAAACGATGAGCAGCTCTAGAAAACAGGAGATTCAAATATTTGAACAAATGAGTTTAAAAAAAAAAAAAAAGGCAAAACATCTAACCAC